GTCCTCTGTCTGCGATGTCTTTATCCACAAATATTGCTTATATTTTGTTTCCAGGGACACGCTCACTGGGAGCTGAGTTCTCTGGTCTGACATAAAGCTCCAGAGTCGGGCCTGGGGGTCGTCGGGGAGACCAGGGAATGGGTACGGAGCGGGAGCAGAGGCCGGCGGTAAGCACTGAGGGCTGATTTATTGCGTATGTGGGCGCCCTGGAGATTTCTGACGATTTGTTTCGCTGCCCCAGTCGGAGCCCCTGACGCAGCCGGACTGAAGGAGACCTGACCCCCTCCCGTTTTCTCTCCAGACTGAAATTCCAGCTCCCGAGGTCTCTGCCGAACGCAGACATCACTCGCTTCCACCCGCCAAGTGGAAAAACACACTGACATGGTTTTGGCGCATCCTTCAATCTTTTCATGAGATTGAAATGACTAAAAGTGGCACGCACACCGGCTTTCAGAGAAGGGTGAAACCGGAGAGGGACGGGGTACCCGCTCCAGCACAGAGAGGAGTCCTTGTGTTACACTCATCTGCCCCGTGGGCGCGATCAGGCGGTCAGCGGGGGGCTCGCCAAGGGGGACAGGCCCTGTGCATTTGGCTCTGGGCATGGGGGGGGGTGTAAAGAAGCCAAGGGTGTCGAGAGCATGCAGAGGGAGACGGAGCAGGGACCTTGCACCCCGGGGCACCCCAGGGCAGCAGCGGGCATCCTGGCACCATGCCCAGGACTCTGTGCAGGAGGCTGGCACGGAGTCTTAGAGGCAGGTGCTGTCCGAGCACGCAGGCGACTGGGAGGCATGGCCAGGCTGGGGAGGCACAGTGCTCGCCAGGGTGAAACTGCCTCGACTCCCTGGGCACGGAGACATCAGCCGGAACACTACCTTTGCCAGAGGGTAAGAACTTCTGGGAGGTGAAGTTTTACGACTCCTCACGAGCGATAAACCCAGTAAACAGAGCCGATACTCACCGCTGCGAAGGTGCCGTTCCAGATCCGGGTGGTCACGTTCACGAGGTACTCGCCTCGCACCTGCGGGTCCCTCAGCCAGCAGGTGACCGTCCCACAGGAGGCCGTCCTGCAGTTCTGAACGGTGGGAACGCGGGAAAGGAGACAGGGTCAGTGCGGGCTTTCCAAGGAATGAGCATGGGAAGGGGGTAGGAACACGCAGCCTCACGGCCTATCGCTAGTTCCAGCTCTTCGTGGCCCTCCCATCGGGTAGGTGCGCCCCCCGCCCAGCCAGCTCCCACTGTGGGCAGGCCTCAGGAGCCAGCCGTAAAGGTGGGGAGGAAAGTACACCAGGACTGTTTACTCACTATTTCCAACAGTGGAAAACAATAAAAACGAATTCGCGTTACTCAACAATGTACTAGCTAAGCAAATTATTGAACATGCCTACTCAAAAGGCAGCACAACCGAGTCATTAAACGTAACTGACAAAGAGACATTCCTTAGATTAAGGTAAAAAAGGTTGAGGGTAAAAGAATCAGTAGCTGCCAAGGGTTGGGGGAGGGAGGGACCAACAGGTGGAGCACAGAGGAGTCAGGGCAGTGAAACTACTGTGTGTGAGGCTATAATGATGCTGGACACAGGTCATTACGCCTTTGCCCAAACCAGTGGAATCTACAGCACCCAGAGCGAGCCTAAGGCAGGCTATGGACTTGGGTGACGACAATGTCCCAAACGCACCGCCCTGGTGGGGCGACTGTGACGGTGGGGGAGGCAGTGCCTATGTGGGACAACAGGTATATGGGAATTTCTGTACTTTCCACTCAATTTTGCTGGGAATCTGAAACTGCTCTAAAAAATAAAGTCTATTTTAAAAAGCCTATGACGTACTGGCCCGTAACGTTTACGCAGCGTGTACACATATACCTGTATGTGGATTAACGCCGAGGCGCACGGGGGAGGCTGGGCATTAACTGAGTGGTCAGCTGTTAAATTTCCAGGGAACTTTCGTTTCTCTGTAGCTTTTTTCCGTTGTCCTATCTGTTTTATGCTGTTGCCACTTAGCAACTGGCGTTTTTACAAAATCAAAACATTTCCACAAAAATAAGAAAAACGCTGAGAGGTGTAATATTTTGGCAAAGCCCGAGATGAGTTTCTACGGGGAATTTTTACATGTTAGGGTGCAGCCACACCGACACGGCAATTACACTATAATTATTTATAAAAGGAAACTGCTCGTCCTGCTATGTTCCTGTCTCTCCATCCATCACAAAACAAAACAATTTCATCCGGACTTGAGAGTGCAGGCCTCAACCCAGACTGGCACCGGCCGCCAGCGGGAAACCAGAAGCTATGACATGGGGCGGGGCTGGGGCTGCGCCCCGAATTCCAGGTGGATCAGTCAATCCCCGGGGGGAACAGGAAACCGCTGCCACGATAACCCGTCCTCACCAGGTCTTTGACTTGCCGGAAATTTTCACTCTTGAAAGACACAGAGGCAGGGGTCTGCCCTATTTTCAGTGGATTTACGCTGGCGTTGCAGCTGATGTCGCCGGCCTGCAGAGAGGACATGGAATCAGCCTTAGGAAGCAAAGCAGTTTGGGGTGTCCTTCAACCTGTTGGGAACCTACTGTCACGTGTGAGGCCGCGGGGACTCTTAGCTCACTGCGGACCTCGCCACGCTTCTCGGCCTCACTAGCGTGAACCCGAGTGTTCAGACGCGCCTGCGTGACTCTATGGGGCTGCTGGTTCTCAGGGCCCATCGGTAATGAGCCAGATTCGCAGTAAAGACAGACTGCAAGTGATTTAACTCGGGGTTCTCTTCTGTGAGCATTTTGGGGTTATGATTTCCTGTCGTCACCTACCCACCCCATAGGGGTGACATTAGGACCAGCGAGTGCTGGAGGATGCTGGGCCAATGTGGGCCTTTGGAAGTCCGTGCTGCTCACCCAGGTATGTTAGGACCACCTGGGGGGTGTTAAAGACAAGCACAGGAGGGATTAGCCAGAGAGATTCCGATTCAATAGTCTGGGGTGGGCCTAGGTATCGCTCTCATTCAGAAAGTGACCCCAGGGATTAAAAGGAGCAGCCAGGGCCAAGGACGACAGGGGGGAAGTCAGGCCGATGGCTCGAAGACCAGCTACCAGCGGCCTGTAGACAGCTTGTCTCCTGTGTGGTTCAACTTCTCCCTCCCCAGCCAGCTAGCTTCTCGGTGGACAGGGCTCTGAGGGTGGGACCCCCACCTGGCCAAGGCCTTAGGAATAATTTCTGCCACCTAGACTCAGGCATCCGTTTTCTTACACCACCACCCTGCTTCTAGTATGAAATGGACGTTTAGCTCATCGGCACCCAGGGGCTACCTTCTCAGTTTCTGTCTCCACCTGTCAGACGTGACCGCCCTGCCTACCGGGCTGGTTTCCACGTGCAAAGCGCAGGCTGCTCTAGGCGATGTGGCTCCCCTTACCTGATCCATGTGCACCCCCGTCAGGTACATCAGCGGGTTCTTCTCTTTGGTGTACTGGGGAATGTGGATGGTGATGGATGCCATGCTCACTGGGATATTTCCCGTGGTCACCTGTGCAGTACGGAAGGAAGCAATCTGGTTTGGTTTTGATTTTTCATCGCCACATCACACACGTGTTGCAATAACCTCTGTGCGAATGAAGGGAATGAATAAGTGGCCCGACTGAGTCCACGAGAAAGTGAGTCAGTCGTCATAGTGACACTTTCAGCTCTGTTGTTTCCCCTCTTTGAAAAATCTCAACATCTACAATTTTAACTGGCCAAAAACCTGTGACGTAGGAGATGGTTAGAAACACCCACCATCTGTGGAGTTGGGCTACCCGGGCATGAAGTCCCACCCTGGGCACGGTGCTGGGCCTCTCTGCGCTTCCTTTTTCTCATAAATAGAGAAAATCAGCAACCCAGTTGGGGTGCAGGCCTAGCGCCCGTCCTCACTGGGGGGGAGTCTGCTCATGCTGGCAGTGCGCGTGTCCTCCTGGCTGTTACACATTTTAAGTAACACTCATAGGAATAGTAAACCTACCAACCTCATGACTGCTCTGGGCGTAGATGGGTCACCGTAGGCAGAGCCCTGGATGCAGGGGCCGGTACTTATGAACTCTACGGATGTTACCGCTAATTCACAATGTCTCATTCAAGAGGCAGTTGCCGAGCACTATGCATATTTCATAAATTCCAGTATCTGGATCATAAATCAAGGCTCTTTGATTTTTTTTTTTTTTTTAAAGAATCACCAAATTTCAGGCTTGCAACCACATAACAGACTAGTGAGAAATCTACAAAAGGAAACTGTATACTTAGGGTGGTNTAACAGACTAATGAGAAATCTACAAAAGGAAACTGTATACTTAGGGTGGTGAATGAATTTCCTTTTTACTTTCCAAAGTTTCTGTAATGTTACGTTATAAAATAGTTCCTCTTACAAATTAACTTCTCTTTACATAATTGATGACAATTTTTAGATTAATAATTGCTTATACTAATAGACAATAGAAACTGATATAAATTTATCTCTAGATACTACCTAGCGTGACTATCAAATGCATAGTTGTACACAAATGATAAGCTCCTCAAAGAGAAGGGGTCTCTAAGAATAAATTGACAAATTACTTATATCCCAGAGACTTTTGCCCACACTAATACCATTATAGTAACATTCTGTTGATCGATGTTGAACACTTTCAGAATATATCAGTTATCCCTCACCCGGGACACATGGCTGTGCACAGTGCCCAGCTGTTCACTCATCTGTGGTCTATCTTAGCGATTCTCAGAGTGCAGCAGCCGGACCAGCAGCATCAGTGTCCCCGGGAACTTGTGAGCAATGCACGTTTTTAGACACAGCCTAAACCAGGAGCCCAGGCGAGCGAATGCCTGATCGAGTTTGAGACCACCGGTATATTTCAACTTCTTCCTGCCTAATTTTCTCCTTTCCTCTCCCTCCTGATTTCCCATCTTTCTGACTCGCTCACCAACCTTGATGGAGAAGACGAACTGTGGACCGATGTCTTCAAAGTTGTGCACAACAGAAGGGACATTTTCATCTGCGGAGACTTCGTAGAAATTGATGTTGGTAGACCTGTTGGGAGATGTTTGCAAAGCCAGAGAGTTTAGTTCTGCTGTTCTTGACGCTTGATGTTTCTCTTACTTAAATATCTCCTAGCTTAGGTTACAAGCAAAGCAGTTTACGTTAAATACAAAAACGCGAAATGAAAACAAACGCTTGTTATGAGCCTAGGGTTCAGTGGGCATGGCTAAGGCTAAACCAGGTCCCTTTCAGAGCACGTCCCTTCACGACCTTCCTGCAGGGCCTCTCCCTGCCGCCGTCAAGTTTCTAACTTAGGTACCCATGGGTTACTTTAGAGCTGACAGTGGGCTCGTATGGCGACTGCTGCTATAGTGACGGGCGTGTTAGTACGCTCAGTCCTTGCTGAGGGACGGATGGACTGATCAGCAGAGGATCACCCACTGGGTGTGGCTGAGACGCAGTGATGGGCCTCGGGCGTGGGCTCCGGCACCACTCAGCACCGGAGGCCTGTGACCTGTGAGAGAGGACAGGTGCCCTCCTTGACCTTCCCTTCTTGCCTCCTTCCCTGGTCCCAAGACAACTCAGTGCTTCTGGTCTGAATTGGGTCTCAATGCCTTTCGTCTGTCTCCATCGCTAGTGTAGTGATCACCCTTCAATGGCCGACCCAGAGGATTTATCAGATGAGACCAGAGGCACCGGACCGACCTGGGGCATTGGCTGGGGCACTGCCTCCCGGGGTTCTCAGGTGCAGTGACGACCACGTCGGGGGAACCCCCCGGGCCCAGCCACACTGGAGTGTAACTGGCTACCCTCCCTGCCCTCTCTCGCTTCTGGGGCTCTGAGGGTGGACCGACCGGGGTAGCTTCACTGGGGGTGGGGGCAGGGAGCAGGGGCAGGACACTGAGAAGCAATATTTATTCCCACCAGGTAATCCATCCTAATTATAGGGTGTTGAATCTATGCCCCCCAAAATTATAGTGGACATTTCCTGAGATAGAGGATTTTTTTATTTCTTTACGGAAAATACTGCCTTTCTCTTTTTTTTATGCCTCCTTTAGAAAAACACTTTTCCAAATTCTAAAAAGGAAAACACGTCACAGCGGAGTCTGAGCTAGACGTGGCATTTGTCAAGGTTATATATGTGAGAGGGCGCAGCGATCTGTGGGCTGTGCATGGAAAATGGGAACGAGGCTTTGAAACAGAAACCCTGGCGTGTGCGGGATTCTTTCCTCGGCCTTCCAGAGGTCTTTGTGGAGCCCTCAGGACGGCCAGTTTCCAAGCTGATTAATATGTTCTGCTTTTGCCTTTTAAACAGAGCCAACCTTTTTCCATTTGTAACCTAAGTGTTCCTTGGGTCACCTAAGTGTTGGTCGATATATTTATAATAGCAGACAGCTATGCTCGGAGGGCTCTGTTTTAGAAATAATTCCACTGTCATCTGTGTCCACCCATCACATTTGCACAATGTGGCCTCACATTTATAGAGTATCTCAGCGGTGGCTGAGGGCTACGCTCAATAACTGGGAAGGACTTTTTTTTTCGAAAAAGTTTGCAAAGGTATTTGTTTAAAAAAATTTTCCCACCAGCACTGCTTCTGATGATTAAACAAACCAAAATAAAAATGCAAAACACCCAAATATCTCATTAATATTAAACGGTTTACACAAATTACAATCCAGCCAGGAGTAGACACGTTAGATCTGTATGTCCTGGTATGAATTTCTCCAGGTTCACATAAAAAGCAAGACGCAGAAAAATGTTATCATTCCGTTTGGGTAAATAATGTGTGTGTGATGCTTACATCCTGGTAGAAAAACAAGCCCTGCGTCTGGAAGGTATTCGCAAAACAGCGGAGTTAGTCGTCTATGGGATGAGCTCAGGCGGTGGGAGGGGTGATTCCATTTTCCGTTGTGTATCTTTCTCTAACGTTTGGATTTTCTACTCATCAACATTTAACATCTTTCTTTAAAAAAAAAAAAAAAAAACACCCAGAGGAATCGCCTTGGTGGTAGGACTAAGAGCCACTTTAGCTTTTCTTCATAATTCTTCATATTAATTTTTTAAACTGTATCATATTTTTTAAAGAACATCAGACTGTCGTAGAGTCCAACAAAAATACACAGTAAGATGTTATTGAAGTGCCACTTAATCTTATGTTTATCTCATGGTAAAATATCTGAAAAAACTGGCCGTGGTGGGCGGGGGGAGTCATAAAAAGGCCGCTTTAAGAAGCCTCCAGGATGAGCAGGAGCCGATGTGGGCAGGAGGGAGACCCTCAGGTGATGTCCGCCGTCAGCTCGGCTGCTTAGTGTCCAGTTGCTGCAGCAGCAGCGAGGGGCCTCCGCTCTGCAGTTACTGATGAGTTTCTCAGGGACGGAGGACTTGGACCCGACTTCGTTTCTGCTTCTGCTGTTTGCCACTCGCTGGATACAGCAGATTCTTTTCCCGCTTGCTCATGTGTCTCGGGCGTTAGACATACTTTCCTCTTTGTTTTCACTCAGTGGTCTGTTGGGTCATCTCCATAGTCCCTGCTTCCAGGGGCTGGAGCGAAGCAGCGGGAGCCAGAGAACTCGGCTGGCCCCGGACACTGGCAGCCTGGCTTCTTGGGGACACTCTGCTGCGGGTTGTCCCCGGGTCACTGGCGTGTCTGGGAGGGAGCCTGGCCAGGCGGAGAACCTTGGTTCCTGGCATGGAGGTGGGTGTCACCCGTCGCCTGTGTCCCCGCATAGCTGGGCCCCAGTGTGTCTGTGTCCGTGAAACCACTCGCTTCCAGGTGGGAGTGAAGGTGGTGTCAGCCTGTCAGCACCTGTGGCCTTTACCTGTTACTCACATCTCAAGACACCCGCCTCTGAACAATTCCAGGGAACCTGTATCACCCAGCTGTGCTCTCAGCTTTGCTTGCTGTGCTCTCAGGTTCGCTTGCTCTGGGCAGGCGAGGAAAGGGGGTCCGGTCCGCACTCCCGGTGGGTGACCTGCCTGGAGGATGCCTCACTTCCTCTTGGCTGAAAGAAACTCTTCCTGTGATGTCAGGAATTTTCTACCCAGAAACTCATTTTTTGCAACTAGATTCAATACTTGTGGTGGACCCGCCATGTGCAAAGCACTGTGCTTGTGCTGAAATGTCCAGGAACAGGGACGTCGCTGGGGACCCCGGTGGACCGTGGGAGAGGGGCCTGGAGAAGGCGGCAGTGGTGACTCTCAGGGCCCCAGCTCTGCTTCCGGGGGACTTGCAGCTGGTCTGGGGCCTGTGGGGACTGTCCCCTCGGCCCCTGCCGGAAGGGTTACTCCCCTGCCTTCCTGCTGTTACTCTTGGTCAATGACCTGGAGACGCCCAAGGTTCCCCTGGGGACCAGTGTGTCCTGGACTCGTGTTGCAGCTGGCAAGGGGAGGCACCCGAATTCACATTTTGCAGCTAAGAATAAGCACACAGAGGGCTTGCTGAGTCACCGGCCACGCGTGTCGGGAGCCAGAGTGACGCCCGGGTCACAGGCCGCCCGCCGCTCCTCCTACCTCGCGATGTGAATTTCGGCGTCGTATCGCAGCGGGACCGTGAAGTTGGCCGAATTATCCGCCGGGTTTGCTTCATTGCTTTCGCTGTTGAGACAAGCGTCAGGAAATTACTTGAAGAGAAACACTGGGAACGCCACCCCTTCGTGACTCTTATGTTTTTACCTTAAGGCTCGGAAACTGACAGATGCCTGGTTCTGGAGGTTCTGAAGGTTGAAGTCGAAGTTGATAGAAAACGTCACCTACATACAGAATTAAAACTCATCAACGTGTGTCGCTCAGAATCGGGACGGCATTAAAAAAAAATAAAAGTTTCCCCCAAGAGCAAACTCACTCCGGTTAGACCCTGAGCCGTACGAGCCGCAAGCTTCCACGCTGGCAGACGGTGTCCCTATCTGCCCAGCTCGCCGAGCAGCCTCACCCTTACAGGGGGAGGGCTTAACCGTACCGGGCACGCGTCCTCCGGCACAGGCACGCACGCCTGGCTGGACCGGAAGCTTTGCGCCATGTGAACTTGCTCATCGGGGGCTAACAGGCCATTCCCCGGGGCTCTGTTCACAGCACTATAACCCACACGGTCAACGAGCTCAGAAAAAACTAACTTTGCATATAGTGCGTGTGCTTTCTGGAATGAACTGCACGGGGAAATCCCACTTTTTTCGTAACTTAAAGAGAACTTTCCGATCTTAAACGCTTCCTCTGAGCAGCAGCCAGAGTCTGTGCTGCCTCTGAAGGGTGACGCCTGGTGGGGAGGACGGTCTGTGGGTGAGTTAACGCTGCGCTGCGGAGGGCCTGCGTGGGTTTGAGGGCGCAATGCAACTTGTACCTGTTGTTCCGTCTTTAAGGCAGGGTAGCCCACGTCGCAGGCAACGGCTTTCTGAGATGAGGCGACCTGGCAGGTTACCTCTGTCCCGTCCACCTGAACGAGACCAAGGAAATGTGAGCAAGTCGCACGTGCCCAGTGGGGCACGCACACCCACGCTGAACGGCGTGTAAGCCACGTGGGCATTTCAGCGGGAAGGCCGGTTCATACTGAAGTAACCTCTTGTCCCTGACAACTTGAAAAATCCTGAATTGTCCAGGTGGCTAATGTACTATTTTTGTTGCTAAGCAGGAAACAAGCCAAAGGAGAGATCAAATACTTGAGTTTTCCTCCGAAGTAAATCACTGGTCTTATATTTAATAAGCACAAAATAACTTTAATCCAATAATCAGAAATGCTGTCTTTAATCCGTACCTTTCCCTTAATATATTTTGAATGTGTAGTTTCACGAGAAGAAAAATCACATGTTGGTGTTTATTTATATTCTTTAAATAATGTAAAGACTCTGTTTTAGTTTACCTGTGTGTGTTTTTTCTTTTAAAATACGTTGTCATTTTGCACAGGGAAGTCAGATTAGGACACTAAATCTATTAAGTTTGCATTGACTTTAAACGGGATGGGACTGCTTTAGGATTCCCTCATCGAGTGGGCAGCTAACGTGGAAAATCTTAGCTTTTCCCTGCACTCCTTTCACTGATCCACGGCTGAGGGGCCGGGGCATTCGTGGTCAAGTGGCTCCTGGTTTAGTGATCAAGTCAACACGATTAAGTGACCTCGCTGGAATGCGTCATCTTGGCAGCCGGGCGGCCCGTGGCCGACTGCGGGCCCACAGCTGGGGCGTCCGAGTGGCAGCCTCATCACACAGGTGGCTGAGGGGTTGCCGAGGACCTGGCCACGGCGGCCGGGTCTCAGGGCAAAAGGAAAACTGCCTGGGCTGCGGGGCGGGACCGGCCTGGGCGCAGAGCCCGGCGATGTTCTCACGTGGTTTAACTACTTGGGAGCCATGGGGTTAGGCCGGAGGGCGCGGATCGTGGTTCAGAGCTTCCCTCACACGCAGAGGACACGGGGTCCGAGCTGGGGGGAGACGGCGGCTGACAGGAAGCCGAGGGCACAGGGCGCCACGCTTACCGGCATGGACCAGGACGCGAAAAACAAGTTCTCCGAGAAATCCACCACCAGCCCGGTGTTGTAGGCACTTTCCCTTCTGTTTTTCAGTGTCACCAAAAACGTCAGCCTTTTGTTTTGGTTGCTGACAATGAAGGGATGTTCTCTGTTAAAAAAAGGGGAAAAGTTGGAAAAAAGTCATCACGGGGCTAAAAGGGGCCAGTGTTCAAAGACTTCACTCGTTTCAAAAACACCTCTTCTCATTTATTTGGGACACTTTGCTTTTAAGTACACTGCAGGGGCAGGAACCATCCGAATACCAACGTTCTTAATGTTTTACACCTGCATGGATGGTGGAAATTGAAATTTAGAATTTAAAGTCCTTTATCAGTTACGGATATTTCTTTTGTAGAAAACAATCTCCATAAACATTCGCTTGAAAAACTCAATCGAATGTCTTTTATTTCTACATTTTACTTTCTACATTTGAGCTTTATTTATTTTATTTAGATTGAAGGGCAGAGAGAGAGAGAAACATTATCGACCGGTTGCCTCCCATACGCGCCCCGATGGGGGGGATCGAACACGTGGCCTGGGTATGGGCCCTCACCGGAATCGAACCTGCCACCTTTTGGTGCGTGGGACACCGCTCAACCCACTGAAGACCCGGCCAGGGCGGCGCTGAGCTTTTAAGTACAACTTACTGCGCAGCTGGAAGCTGCTGGACCTGCAGCACCAGGTCAGAGATGCAGACGCCATCGTCGCCACAGTCTTTGTGGAAAGGGATCTACGGAAGGGAAACAGCCCCACGCACGGGCACTTAGGAACGCGAATGGTGGACGACACACAGCAGCACCCCACTTACAGGAAGCTCGGGACCGTGCCAAACTAAACAAGGCTTTTGGAACATATGCTCGTTCAGGAACATTGGCAGGGAAAGCACGGATGAATGCAAACTTCACGGGGAGGACTGCCCGGGGAGCAAGAGGGATGTGCACCTGTTGGGGGTGGGAGCGAACGGGGAACTTCACGGGTGTGGGTAACACTCTATAGTTCAAGTGGGCCGAGCGCAGGGTGTTTGTTTATTGTTACTTATTTCTTCAACAAACCCCTGCGGACCACCTGTGGAGGGCCCGGTGCTGGACAAGAGCGGTAAACGGAGACAACATCTCAGTCTCCCTGGAACTTACATGCTAGTGACCTGTACACATAAGTAATTGCATTTCATTTAGAAAATTAATGGACGAAAGGCCGCGTCCTGAGTGTCTTCAGAAGCAGTGACTGAGCCTCGGTCAGCCGGGCTGGATGCCAGGGGGCACTTACACTGAAGACCTGGGCTGGCTCCGAGTAGGCTTCCAGGGCGGGGCTGGTGCCGGGGTTGGCCAGGCTGATGTTCAGGCACAGGTCCAAGGGGCTGACCACGTCCGAGGGCTCCTAGACACACGCACACACAGACATGGAGTCAGTCTGTTAGCACGTGGAAGCTTTAGAACAAAAGCAACCACGGCCTCGTGTACAATGTTTGGGACTCTCGTTGCACCCCTTCGGCCCTCACTCCGCCCCTCGCCTNGACCACGGCCTCGTGTACAATGTTCGGGACTCTTGCTGCGCCCCTTCGGCCCTCACTCCGCCCCTCGCCTCTCCACCACCGAGGAACTTAAAGACTGGGGTTTGGCAAAAGTCTGAAGCAGCCATTCTTAGTTAAGCTCATCGGGAATCTCATTATGTACACGTAAGGGGTCATAAATATTTAGACGGTGTGCCCAGTTTTAATGCTCAGAGTCTGTGTCAGTCCCTGGCTCTTGGTCTTCGTGTCCCTTTAGTTCCTATTGCTGAGACCCAGGAGTCCTCAGGTGTCCTGAGCAGACCTCTGGAAGGGAGCCCTGTGGCCTCAAAGGGATGGGGCTCGGGGCTGGCTGTCAGGCGATGGACGGGAGGGCTCCCTTCTCTACTCAGAGCCTCACTCTGCTCTTTAAAGCGGACAGAGGTGGTGGCCTCATCCGCATCCGAAGCCAAGCCCCAGGCTTCCGGCCCAGCCCACAGCGAGGAGCTGCCCTCTCCTCGCACAGATGAGGCGACGCGCGGCTCACACCACGGTCACGGAGCGGACACCACCCAGCACCCTGTCCCCCTCTGTGTTCAGGGGAGAGGGTGGAGGACTGGCAGTGAGTCACGGGCCGCTTGGTTCCTGAGACTCCCCATCTAATGAAAAAGTGTAAAAATGCCAACACAGGGCTGCGAGTGTCACCCACGGTCCCCTCGCAAACATCGCCCCAGCTCCTGTCCGGAAAGAACAACGTACAAATGATAAGCACTGGAAACCGAGTCTGCCTTTTCCTGAGCGGTGAGTTTTGGGTATCGCTCAGCCCATCCACAGGCAGGAATCGCTCCTGTCTTGAGCCCGTGTGGGGGCCTGGCTACCAGGCTGGCTTCCGGACCCCAAGGAAACGCTTGCTCAGCGGCCTCAGGCTGGCACACAGGTCGGACTCTGCGGCTGGTGTCAAATACGGTGAGTTACCTGAGCCAGCACCTCCTGGCCGACCCAGACACCGCACACCTGAAAACGCCACAAGTGCACACGAGAGGGAACAGGAGGGTCTCTCTGAACGACAGCCGGCTGCCTCGTGCCCCACAGTGGACCACAAGCTTAATCTCCACCATTCAGCTCAGGGAGAGGAGAGAATGGAAATCAGCTTTCATTCCTTTAAATCCGGGCTGGGGAACCTCCCGCCCACGGGCCACATAAGGCCTGAGAAATCATTGGGGCTGGCCCTGCCAAGGCAACCACAGGCAGGACTCAAAATTCAATAAATCCAGGAGTTTTTTTCATAGCTAATTTTTAAGCNCCCAGGAGCTTTTTTCATAGCTAATTTTTAAGCTGACAATTTTGTATGGCCTGCGAATGATGTTATAAATATCCAAACGGCCCTTGGCAGAAAAAAGGTTCGCCACCTAAATGACTGGTAAAATTGGCCCCTTAACAACGAAAAAAGTCCAGGCCTTGGCAAATAAGAAACCTTTAACTTCAATAATAAACAACTGATTTTAATGCATCGAAGCACCAACTTTATGTTTTCTCAGCTTCTATACTTAGCATTTCTGGAGACGTGGTCTCTGCCCTGTCCAGCTATCCCAGGAATATCTGGGTGCCCCTTTAACCTGCATATTTCCCAGACCTTCAACCCCCACATTTCTGGGAGTGAGGGCCCAGAATACATGTTTTGTAAAAGTTTTCTTGGCAATTCTTACGCGTCTTAAACTCTGAGAACCACATTTCTAGAAAAGTTCTTAAACAGCTCTTTCAAAAATGGTTTCCTGAATAAATTACACTTTCAAACACCATTATGTGGTCTTGCGGGAAATACTCATATAATTCGTAAAATAAATTTCCTGTTGGGAGTTTTCTCCTGAGCAGCACTTTTCCTATTTGGGAGATTTTCAAAATCCATTTAAACGAGAGTAATTATGGCCTAAGGTTAGAGCACATCATTTCCACCTGACAGGCTACCATCCTTCACCTACGTGAGTTTAATCCAATAGTAGAAAACACAATTGCTGCCCGGCCAGTACGGCTCAGTGGTTGAGCATCGACCCAGGATCCAGGCGATTGAGGTTCGATTCCGGGTCAGGGCACATGCCCAGGTTGTGGGCTCCATCCCCAGTCGGGGGCATGCAGGAGGCAGCTGATCAATGACTCTATCATCATTGATGTTTCTCTCTCTCTCTCCCTCTCCCTTCCTCTCTCCGAAATCAATAAAGATATCTTTAAAAGAAGAAAACCCAATTGCCATGGTTCTTTTCAGTTCCTTAAAAATGGTAGGAAAATGTCAAAATACAATTTACTGGGACCTAACAGTTCTCCCTGTAACCACCTAATAAAGCACTCTGTCCTCGGCGTCTTTAAGAGTTGTATCTTTAGCCCTATTAGCTGCAGTCCCAGGTAAGATTCAACGCTATCAACTTACTAATGGAATGTGACCACATGCACTAGCAAAGGAAACTGGCTCCCTGTTCACAGACAAGAAAAGCAATCATTAGAAAGACAGGCACTTTCTGACCTCTGAGTCTCTATTTTAGATGTTCCCCATTTCTTAGACTCTACAGAGGAAAGAGATGAGGGGGACGCCGGGGCCTCACCTGTATGTGGATGAAGAACTCAGAGCAGGTCTGTCCTTGGCCGACGATCGCATCCTTCTGCAGGCACCTCTCACCGTTCTCCTGAAACAACCCCCTGGAGGTCACGCGGGACGAATACAGGTCCGCGTCAATGGTGATGTTGTATGTGATGGCTGTGATAAAGGTCATACAAACATTATTACTTTTTTTTTTTAAGGAAAAAGCATCCCCATCTTATTGTGTTTTACTGGGTGAAGTCTCGGACTTAGAGAAACTGTAAAAATGGTGTTTACGTTGATGGACTGTGAGCCGTGGACAGCCCNGTTATTACTTTTTTTTTTTTTAAGGAAAAAGCATCCCCATCTTATTGTGTTTTACTGGGTGAAGTCTCGGACTTAGAGAAACTGTAAAAATGGTGTTTACGTTGATGGACTGTGAGCCGTGGACAGCCCGTGATATTTGTAATTCTGGCCTCTGGTATGTGACATGGATACAGAGAAACGTGATTCAGGGAAACGTGGCTGGAAGCAGGGGAAGGAAAGTGGACGTGTCCCCAGGAAATCCACTGAATGGAGCTGGCCAAATCCACCCCTTAGACTTTGCCTTCCAAGCATCATTCATAACACGATGAGGTAGAAAGGAAACAGTTGTTGAGTGTCCACACTGAACACTGCTCTTCCTTTGCGTTATTTTTACCACTTATTTTTAGTTCATTAGATTCTCTTATATTTTATCCATCTTTGTTAACCTCCTTAAGTCACTGGAGCAAGAAAAATTATACAACATTTCTAATAGATATTTTAAAGGTAACACGCATAATGAATATTTTTGGAAGTCTATTCAACCTTTAAAATATTGAGAGTAATAAAATAATTTGGAGTAACCCCAGATAAGACAGTTGATGCCATGAACAGCGCCAGCTCTCTGGGCTTTGGACATGCGGTCAGCAGACGTCAGTTGACGGTTCCAATAGTTTAAGATATTGGCCACTGGAGTCACTTTTTGTCACATTGGTTTTTCATTTCCTTTGCCCTGGCTTAGTATCATCATCTCTGTTCTATAGATGAGGAAACGGAGGTTTAACGAGTTGCCTAAAGTCACACAGCTATAAACAGGGGAGTCAGGGTTAGAACCTAGTCTGTCTGATTATGTTAGTTCGTTTGCACTTGAATGAAATACCTGTGGGAACTACCAGCTTCTAAAGTTTAGGGCCAAAAACTGATGGAAGGGGGACTCGGGCCCAGGAAACAGCAGCAGAGGAAAGACGGTCATTGAACCGAGCGTGAAACCCACCGCTGCGCGCGGCCGGTGAGAGGAGGGGAGACCTGAGAGAGGACGCGGACCTCAGCCCGGCCCCGAGAGGTGACTCGGCGGGTCCAGGAGAGAGGCCGTGACAACTCCTGCTGACATGTGCCCGAGGCTTAACTCACTGCCTCCTTCTGATGGAACACGTCTCAGACTTGTACTCACTCCTCTGGATTATGTAGCAAACTGACAACCCTGGGCACAAATGACATCCTTTTGTACTTTCTCATGATTTCATGCTGACTAATTCCTCAAGCACAGGGTCACGTCTGGCCCCAGCACTGGACAACCCTACCCAGGTCATGGCACAGCCGGAAAACAGCTCCCGTTTGATGCGGGCTGTGGCCGGGTGGGAGCCACGCGAGCTGAGGCTGAAGCAGGGACCCGTGGGCAAGAGACACTTGGGGGACAGAGTGGGGAGGGCCCGGGACTGTGCCATGGACATCACAGCCCTGGGCTGCCTCCTAGAGGTGACAGAGGAAGACCTACACCAAGCTTCCTGCCTAATCAACCATCCCCAGCCCCTCGCTGTGTGGCCACAGAAATGTGTGCCCGTGACGCCCCGATTTCTCCGCCTGCAGACGACGTGTGGGTCACATTCAGCCTGAAGCCGGAGCGCAAACCAGCTCCGCCCACGGTACCCGGCGGCCACTCACCCACGCGGCTCCTGGGCGTGGCGGGTCTGAACTTGGCCCGGAAGCAGAGTCGGAGGCGCACCTCGGCGTTCTTGTCGGACAAAGTGATTTTTTCTGGTGTGAATGAAGCGTCTACAGACACATCAGCGATACTCTGGGACCTGAAAGACACAGTGGGAACGGACACGTGGACGTATGGCCGAGTGCACCTGTCTTGACCTTCACCCGGGGCCAGTGCCAGCAGGACCCGGCCACTCTCCCCACCCGTCTGAGCCCGGCAGGGGCATTGTGGGTTGGACGCTCTAAGGTGGCGGGAGGGATGATGTGTGTGTTCGCGGCTGTGGCGCCAGCGTGTCCCGCCTTTAATATCTTCTGCTTCATGAACGTGTGTGTGAGCGCAGGCGAGTCGGCAACCTCTCTGCAAGGGAGCCACACGGTCACGGTCCCCGCTGTTTTTCCAGCTGGACGCAGTGGCTTGTTTTTCTAAGATGGGGAGACAGCAGGTGGCAAAGGAGGCAGGGCTGGGGTGTGTGCTTGTGGCTGTTTCCTGTCACCTCGGTGACTGGCAGCGATTCCTTGAGGTGTGGCATGGGACCAGGGTGCTGGCAGTTAGCCTGATGCAGGACAGTGGCGAGGAGGCCACCTCAGGGGGGCTGCAGACTCCGACTGCCCCGGCCTGTCAGGCGCCTGAAGGGTTTCCCATTCACATGCCTCGTCGCTTCTCCAACATGCTGTGCAGTGGGTGGGACTAATGTCATCTCCATTCATCAGTGAGAAAGCCTAACACGCAGAGGTGTTTGGTAACTGACCAGGGGACAGAGTCACAGTTAGTGAGAGATTAGAGCCCACGGTCTCCTCACTTTGGCCAGTGGATTTTAACTTTATCCTAACGACCCCCTGTGCACCCCTTGACTAGTCACAAAGAAGCAAGTGGAAATCAGTAATCCCCTGTTCTTAAAAGTACTACGAGAAGACAGAAAGCATGTTCTTTCCATTTCAGGACCAAGTCCATTGAAAAATTATTTCGATAATTAACCACGTATCCCTCAGGCTCGCGGATAAACAGCTCAGAACGAATGCAGGTGGCCACGAACTTACAAGGTCTACAAGGTCCAAGAGAAGGGTTCCTTCAGGTCAGCCTCTTTGAGAAGCTGAGCCTTTGTCCTGGTAGAGCTAGCACTGATTTAAATTATTTTGCAAACTTGTTTTTTTAAAATTATTCTCAGGAAGTCACCCAGAAAAGCCAGTCTCGGTGCCTTAAGGGAGTGTGACCACAAAGGGGCACTAACCTAGCTCGGCTGAACGACAGTAACTGATTTCATGTGTTTGGCTGGTTTAAAAAATCAAATTCCCCTTCCAAGGAAAGTCTGGCCACCACTGACTATATTAGAGAGTCATAGTGGAGCAGGAACAGAGGCCGCCGAGGACGACACCTGCCAGGGTAGCTACAGTGATGGTCAGGGAAGGATTAATTGCTTACTGTTTAAAAATCAGCCATATAATGTCACACTTAGTGTTTTTCCAGTGGTATGCTACTCTTAATGGATTTTAACTGATTTTATTCAGTAAATATGTTTTCTTATTCTTAACACCTTAAGTACGATCCTTGAGTTTTACTTTTTCACGTGAAGATTTCGTTAAAACAATGCACTCTGTCCTTCAAAAGCTCAAGTGACACGCTGTCCATAGTGTCATTAAACCCAGGACCAACACAACCTCCTGGGTGCTTTTTCCTGTTCTTGATGTAGTTGGACATTTAAAGCACAATTTTCAGCAGAAGCAAGTGTATGAATGGCTGAACTGTATTTTCCTGGGGCCTCCCGATCAGATTCCCGCTTTCTTTCTGGTTCCATTTCCTCCCCAGCCCCATACACTTATTTTTGTCCTTGAACCACATGGCCCTTGGATCCCTCATTGTCCCCCTGCTCTAGCCCCGCCTGAGTTCAGTGGGAGGTCCCCGAGCCTGCACAATGGCTTCTTTCTCACGACGGATCATTTAGGAGGCAGCCCTTAGCCGCGCTTCCCTGTGTGGTCGGAGCGCTCGGTATTTTTAG